TTGTAGTTTTTTTATGAAAATGGCTTTTCTTAGTCAAAATATGGGGTATTTCCCCCTTTCTTTTATAATAAGGAAGACATCTTTTTTTAAATTTTATTTTATTTAGAAGATACCTTTTTAATATAAAATTTTATGGTTTTCATTATTTAGGTCTTAGGCTTTACTTGTATTTGTTCTTAGATTTTATAGATTTTATTCTTGACATTTTACTGCTTTAATTTTTATAAAATTTCTATTTCTAGTTTTGGTAATCAAAATTGAGGAAATTGTTTGTATGTGTGTATCTGTCCTTCATCTGGTGAACATTCTCCTTTCATAGATCTTTACATAGCTCATAATATGTCTTGAGTGAGCGTGACACTGTTAGTCCTGAAAACCTCATTTGCTCCTACTTCACCAAGGAAGTCCTTAAAATATGGGATACTCAGCTTTGAGTTCACCTAAAAATGAGAGGGAAGAGTCAGCTTGATATGGTCCAAGCAAAGATCTAAATTTTGGAGTTTGGGGAAAGTTTTACTGTGTGAATTAGGCCAGATCCCTGAGCAGCAGGTTCCTCACAAGCAAGTGGAGATAAATGTTCATCAAGGCAAACCAGGTGAAGAACTCCTTGCAGTATCTCAGAATGTTCTCAAGCAATGCTTGCTAGTGTTAATTGAGTTTGATGAATGAATATCTTTGACACTAAAAAATTCAAGGATATATAACTATATGTCTTCTTAATCTTTAAAACTATGAGTATAATCTAAAAAGTGTTTATATTTATAAATGTATGATCATTCCATCTTAGTAGAAATTGCTTCAGGTTCCAGCAAGTTACTTAGTTTCTTCCTTTGTGATTTCTCAGATTCTTATATTGGATTTTGGAATTTTCTTTCTTATAACTGTAGCTCCTTTTGTCATTATTTTATTTTCTTTGATTTTGGCACCTGAAATTGTGGAGCATAGCTTAAGTTTTCATTTTACAAAATAGGTTTTTATTTCTGGAACACCCATTTAATATTGCCTGTATCTTAAATAGGTTGTAATAACTTATATTTTTATGTTGAAATACGTTAAAACAAGCTATAGTTACTGTGGTATTACACCCCTAAAATTCAGTCTGTATCTTAAAAACCATCTTACATATGTCCTCAAAGACATTTTCAATTCCAATTTAATTAATAATAATTTTTATTCTGGTCTATGTCTGGTCCCTATTCAAATTTCTCTAGATATCCTGCAAACTTTCCCTTTCAAGCCATCTACTCAAATGGAGCCCAATCCAGGACCTTGCATTGCACATGGTTGCTTGGATTCCCATTGCAGACTTTAGTCTTTAGCAGCTCATTTTGAATAGCAAGGACTGGCTGCGAAGGGTACCACACCCTCCCTGCCCAGCATCAGCATCACCTTGGGCTTGTTGGAAGTGTGAGTCCTTAGGAAGCAGCCTCAGCTCTGATGCAGAACAGCACCGACTTCCACGCACTTGTGACATCTGCACTCTGGAGTCAGGGGCACTGCTCTGTCACTGTGGATTCCTACACCAAGGGTAGGTATTTCTGTTGTTTTCAGCGTTCATCTATAATGAATAATGTTAAAAAATTTATATCCAAGTTTTTCATATTCCTTGGTATAACTAGGCTAGATAGCCCTATGATTAGCCTTTTGAGAAATGTCAAATTGTTTTCCATATTGGTCACACTGTTTCACATTCCACCACCAGGGTCCTAGGGTCTTAGCATTTTCTCATCCTTGATACAGTTGACCTGATGACCTAGAGGATGGGAAGTGGCATCTCATTGTGTTTGTTTTTCTCATTCTCCTTTTAGTTTGTCTTGGAAACAGTTTTGTTTAGTAGTTGTCTAAAGAAAATACTTTGTATATGAAAACTTTAGTATAGACAGCTATATCTTCTAGGAAATACTTAGACTCAAAGAAAAATATATCTCATCACATGGTTTCAGTAAAGTTGCTTGGGAAAGTGTTGGAAAATACTTAAAATATATCACTCTTTGTAGCTGGAGTTTTCCTGCCTGGCCCACAGTCAGGACAAATCTCTGTCACCCGCCAGTCCCACAGCCGCTCAGACCCAACCAAGTAAACACAGAGACTTATATTGTTTAAACTGTTTGGCCTAATGGCTCAGGCTTCTAGGTATCTAGTTCTTACATCTTAAATTAATACATTTATATAAATCTATACCTTGCCATGTAGCTCATGGCTTACTGGCATCTTCACATGCTGCTTGTCATGACAGCAGCTGGCAGTGTCTCTTCCCACCTTCCTGTTCTCTCAATTCTCCTCTCTGTTAGTCCCACCTATACTTCCTGCCTGGCCACTGGCCAATCAGTGTTTTATTTATTGACCAATCAGAGCATTTGACATACAGACCATCCCACAGCAATTCTTAGCTATTTTCTTTTTATCAAGTTATAACTGTTGCTTATATATTCTAGATAAATTTTTTATTTAAAAGTTTTTTTCTAATTTACCTACTAACTCTACAGGTCCCCCTCCTTCCCATCCTCCTGCTCACTCCCTATCTTCCTCCTACCCCACTCCCCATCTACCTCTTAGAGAGGCTAAGGCCTCCCATGGGGAGGCAACAAAGTCTGGCATTTCAAGTTGAAGCAGGACAAAGTTCCTCCCCAGGTATAGATCTAGATAAAAATTTAAACATTATTCCCCAAATTGAGCACATCAGCACATGCCTATAGTCTCAGGACCCAGCAGATGGAGGCAGAAGCGTCAATAGTTCTAGGTCATCCTTAGCTATGTAGAAAATTTGAGGATAGAATCTGTCTCAAAAAAACAACAATCCTCCTATATTCTAAATTGTGAGATTATACTTTGAATAACAATGTTTTGGTTATTTAAATTAAAGCTGAATTTAAATTAAGTTTTAATATAATTTAAATTAAATGCAATTTGATTTTCTTTACTGACATGTTATTGTGTGACATGTATTTTGGTGTCATGTCTATGAAACCATTGATTTATTTGAAAATTTTGGCTTGCATTTTCTTCCAAGATTTTTAGTTTTAGCTCTTATATTTTAGGCCTTTGTCCACTCTGAATTAATGTTGTATATGATCTGAGGTTCTAATTCATTCCTGTGCACATAGACGAACTGTCTGATGAATGTAATTAAGGGATGTTTTTGTTAGTTTTTGATGTTGAGCTTCATTTCGACTTTAAATGATTTTCCACTTCCTTCTTTCCTCACTTGGCTCTTGTCTTTGTGTAGTGTGTGATTTACTGCATCTTGTGAAGGTGTTTGAGGCAGTGTATTCTCCGTTGCTGTGCTAGTAATATTCCATAGACTCTAGTGTGTGACATTACTATTATTATTTTCTAAACATTCAGTAATTTTGATAGTTAAAGCTATTTTATTTTGTAGCTGGCACATAATTGCACATTATGTGCTCTATTATAATTCAACACATGTAGATTAGTGATCTTTAGAGGGGAGGAAGAGTCCTGGGAGACATCTTGGGGAGGTAGCAACCATAACCAATGCATAGTTATTAAGGAGGGAGTGACCGTGTTCTACAATACATTCAGTGATACTGCTTGGCAAAAACCTATTGCATATTTTATAGATTTCAGAACTATATAACACCTTTTTGTTATTGCTAATTGTCTACTAAAGTTTTCCAGGTTGATGAGGCATTTTTATTTTCTAATTTTCTTATTGTATTCTTTAAGTCCTGTAATTAATTTTAATTGAATGTTTATGAGAGGTCATAGTTGAATCATTGTTAGTTTTGTGAGATTGGGTTTAGCTCTGGAGTCTTATGTAGTATATATTTGGTAAGTTAAGTAGGAAATTGGAAGTGAAATGTGTTCGTTGGCATAATTGAAATAGAGTGATCATGTACATATCCACATATATGTTTTATTATTTTGTTTAACATTTTATATCTTTCTGTTTCTTTAAATGGGCTCTCATGTAGCCCAGGCTGGACTCAAATTTACTGTGTAGCAGAGGTTAGCCACATGAGCTAGAATCACAAGTGCCTCCCCCAGTTTTGCAATTCTAGACAGCAGAAGTTTGATGTTCTTTTTGTCCATTTCACCGAGTCTTTGAAGAATATTCTAGATACCACACATCTTTACTAATTAGTTTTCTTGTTACAGAAACATGATTTCTAGACGAATGGTAAACACCAACTGTTGTCTTCAGAACATTAAGTTTGTGACACCGATGGATCAGAACAACTGCCCAAGGATCCAAGAGTGGTTTGAGTGGGTATGGCAGGCTGAATGCAAATGGTATAAGATTCCAATGTAGGTAGTTATGTCCATAACTCGAGATTAAAAACTGTGGTGGTATTTTGTTTGTGCTCTAACAAATAAAGCTTGCCTGGAGATCAGAGTGCAGAGATAGCCACTAGAGGGCAGGCAGTGATGGCACACACCTTTAATCCTAGCACTTGGGAGGAGGAAACAGGAAGTGATATGGCTGGGCAGAGAGAGTAACTAATAAGGTAGGATAGAGACAGGAGCTCACCCCCTTCAGCCTGAGGATTCCGTAGGGGTAAGAAGTGTCTTCAGTGCTGGACTGTGCTGCTTCTCTGGTCTTTCAGCTTGCACCCTGATATCTGACTCTGGGTTTTTATTATTAAGACCAATTGGAATTCCTGCTACAAAAACTGTCTGGGGTTAAGGATTATTACCGTTAGTTATCTGGCACTGAACCAGGTGCAGGATTGGCATTCAGTACCTATAGAACACATGAATGTGGGTGAACAAATCTTTGTGGATCCTTAGAGCATAGCTAAGTAAAATTGTAGTACAAGCAAAGATACTTTGGCCAGAAGAAATGCAGAAGAGCATCCAAGAAGACTATTTTAATGGTTATCATTTGAATCTTGCAGAAATTTCTGGAAGAGCATTTTGTGTCCTATGCATGGACCACATGGTTACTATGCAAACACTGTTGTTCTTCTCTAGAGCTCAGAGAGGGCTATGCTCAGCAATCATCTAGCATGAAACATCTCAGAAAACAAGCTCAAGATTTTCCTCATTGACCTCTGTGCTCATGGCAAGAGGAAACCAGACCAGCACCTTTGAGTTCCTCCTCTGGGGTCTCTCAGAACAGCCACAGCAGCAACAATTCATCTTCCTGATCTTCCTGTGGATGTACCTGGTCACTGTGACTGGGAATCTGCTCATTGTCCTAGCCATTGTTACTGATGTACAACTCCACACTCCAATGTACTTTTTTCTTGCCAGCCTGTCCTGTGATGACATCCTTTTCACCTCCACTACAGTACCCAAGGCCCTGGTGAACATCCACTCCCAGAGCAGGACCATCTCCTATGCAGGATGCCTGGCCCAGCTCTACTTCTTCTTGACTTTTGGAGACATGGACATCTTCCTCCTGGCTACAATGGCCTATGACCGATTTGTGGCCATTTGTCACCCTCTCCACTACACAATGATTATGAGCTTCAGGCGGTGCTCACTCTTGGTGGCAGCCTGCTGGACCCTTACAAATGTTGTCGCCATGACACACACCTTCCTCATGTTCCGTCTCTCCTTCTGCTCCAAGAAGGTCATTCCAGACTTCTTCTGTGACCTGGGACCCCTGATGAAGATTGCTTGCTCAGAAACCCGTATCAATGAGCTTGTGCTTCTCTTCCTGGGGGGCTCAGTCATCTTAATCCCCTTCTTGCTCATCCTTGTGTCTTACATCCGCATTGTGTCAGCAATCCTCAGGGTCCCTTCTGCCCAAGGGAGGCGCAAGGCCTTTTCTACCTGTGGGTCCCACCTTGCTGTGGTGTCCCTGTTCTTTGGGACAGTGATAAGGGCTTATCTGTGCCCCTCATCGTCTTCCTCCAATTCAGTGGTGGAGGACACAGCATCTGCTGTCATGTACACAGTGGTGACCCCCCTACTGAATCCCTTCATTTACAGCTTGCGGAACAAAGACATGAAGGGAGCACTGGTCAGAATTCTCAGGGGCAAAGTCTCCTTCTCCTGGGGCCAGTGACTCCTGCAGAGAAACAGAAGGTGTCCTCATTCACTCTGCTGAGGATCTTCCAGAAATTTCTACCTCAAGTGTCCCATTCTGAATCCTATATATGCTTTATCACATCCCTGCTCATTGACTTCTCACCTAGAGTTTCTTAGATTTGAGGAAAATGAAAGGCTTTGACTTGTTATGAATTGCATCTTTGTTCTTTTATTTATAATCTCATTCACCAGAATGATGATTTAGTCAGTGTCAGACAGCAAGACAATTCTTTCTGTGGGGACAATATTCTGGAGCTGAAAATTCTTATTTTTTGCCCCAAAGAAAATGCACTATTTGGACAATATCATACATGAGTACAATGCACTTTGATCATATCCACTCTGACTTCCCCATCTAACTTCTTTTATGAACCCCCATTTTTCATTATCAAATTCGTGTCCCCTTCATATACTGTATGCTCCCCACACATGTGCTCACATGTATCTATCTCCTACTGAGTCAAACTTATGTTCTCTACATACACATGGGTATAGCTTGAATAGTAGGATATGGGCAACCTGCCACAGAGCTTGTCATAAGAAACTGCTCATTTGTCCATTGACTGATGGAGGCAAATGCAGAGGTCCATGGCCAGGTGCCAGGCTGAGCTCCGGGAATCCAACTGATGAGAGAGAGGAGGGATTCTTCAGGCCGGGGACATCGAGATCATAATGGGAAGATGTGCAGAGATGACTGGCCACACTAGTGGAAGTCCATGAACTGTAGACTAATGGCTGTGGAGCCCCCATGGGACTGGACTAGGCCTTCTGGATATGGAAGATGGTTGTTTGGCTCGAAATGTTTGGGGGGCAACCAGACAGGGGGATAAGGATCCGTCCCTGGTGCATGGGCAGGCTTTTGGATGCCCAGTGCCTGCAGTGTGATGCCTTGCACAGCCTTGGTGCAGTGGGGGAGGGGCTTGGACCTGCCTCGGCTCAGTGTGCCAGGCTCTGCTGACTCCCCATGGGAGACTTTGGTTTGGGGGATGTGGGGGTGTGGGGTGGCTTGGGAAGGAGGGCTGAGGGGTGGGAGGATGGAGGAGGTGGGATCTGTGGGTGGTATGTAGAGTGGATAGAAAGTTTCTTAATAAAGAAAAATAAAAAAAAATAAGAAAACTGCTCTCCCTGTTTGTTCAGCAGCAGTTGGCTGCCTGTAGCTCCTAAACTGTGAGTGGGACCTGGTATGGTCTTGTGTGGGCCGCTAGAGCTGTTGAATGTTAATGAATGTAACATACCTGTCAAGTCCAGATGATATTTTTTTGCAGCAATCCTCCAGGTCCTCTGGCCTTACACTCTTTCCTCCCTTTCACTAAGATTCTTACCTTCTTGTGACCTTGTGTTTCATCATCATTAGAGACACATTGCTCCCGTTTGTGGTGACCCTGGTGTAAACAAACCCATTGCAGAGCCCGAGTGTGAAAGCATAGCTCACGTATTTATGCACAGCACAAAGCACTGACGGTAGTAATAAAAGCCTGGGTGGTGACTGGGTGTGTATTCACTATGCCGTTCATCATCATTTCAGAATAAACTCCTTCCACGTGCAGAAGGTATGTGTTAAATAAATGTTCTTTGTTCTGCTACCAGCAGATTCATATCTTGCGTTTACAAAGTCTCTGGCCTAATAAAGAGGATATTGAATGATTGACCTACACCATTTATGTTTATGTCAGGACACTGTCTGATGATCATTTTCAGAATCTGTCCTCAGTTTTTAAATATGTGTGACTGTCCTTTTTTGTAACTTTCCTCAATAAGAACTGTTGTTTTGCAGGGTTCATAATTCTAAAAGTCTGTAGCCCTTTAAGACAGTGGGAAAGTGATATATTTAATTAAATTCATATAACTATATAAATTATGTAACAATATGAATTCATTAAAGATATTTAATTAAATTTGTACAACTATATAAATCATGTAACAATTAATATAAATTAATTAAAGTAAATAAATTAATTTAAAATGTTAAAAAAATTTATTAAAAAATTTTCTATTCATTTTACACATATTCTCCTCTTCCCTCCTCCTGCCCCTCAGCCTTTCCCTCCCAACTCTCCTACTCCCCCCCCAAGAAGGCAAGGCCTCCCATGGGGAGGCACATCCAGTAGAGGCAAGTCCAAGCCCTTCCCTTTGCCTCAAGGCTGCACGAGGTGTCCCATCATAGATAGTAGGCTCCACAAAGCCTGCTCATGAACCAGGAATGGATTCTGATCCTACTGCCAGGGGGCCTCCCAAGCAGATCAAGCTACACAACTGTCTCACCATGCAGAGGGCCTAGTCCAGTCCTGTGCAGGCTCCACAGTCATTGATCCAACTTTTATGAGTTCCCACTAGTTTGGTTTGGTCGTCTCTGCAGGTTTCCCCATCATGATCCTGATGCACTTGCTCATAGAATCCCTCTTCTCTCTCTCTTTGACTGGACTCCTAGAGCTCTGCCTGGTGTTTGGCTGTGGATCTCTGCATTTGCTTCCATCAGTCATTGGAGAAAGGTTCTGTGATACGTGTTAGGGTATTCACTGGTCTGATCCCTACGGTAAGCCAGTTCAGTTCAGGCACCCTCTTCACTATTTCTAATAGTCCAAGCTGGTTTTATCCTTGGGGATTCCTAGCAACTTTCCTAGCACCAGGTTTCTCTAACCCATGATATCTCCCTCTATCATGGTATCTCTTTCTTTGCTTTCTCCCTCTGTCCCTGTTCCAGCTCAACCATCCTGTTCCCTTATGTTCCCATCTCCTATTCTCTACTCTCCATTGCCCACCCCTAATCCCTAGTTTACTCATGGAGATCTCATCTATTTCCCCTTCCCAGGGCGAGCCATGAATCCCTCATAGGGTCCTTCTTGTTAGCTAGCTTCTCTGAAGCTGTGAATTGTAGTTTCGTTATCCATTGCTTTACATCTAGTATTCACTTATGAGTGAGTACATACTATGTTTGTCTTTCTGAGTCTGGGTTACCTCACTCAGGATGATATTTTCTAGTTCCATCCATTTGCCTGCCAATTTCATAATGCCATTGATTTTACTGCTGAGTAGTACTTCATTGTGTATATGTACCACATTTTCTTTATCTTAGCATTCTGGCAGATGTAAGATGGTTTCTCTGAGTCATTTTTATTTGCATTTCTCTGATGACTAAGGATGTTGAACAATTTTTTTAATGTCTTTTAGCCATTTGAGATTCTTCTGTTGAGAATTCTCTTTTTAGCTCTGTAGCCCATTTTTTAATGGGGTTGTTCAGTATTTTGATGTCTAGTTTCTTGATATCTTTAGATTTAGTAATGTTTTTAATTAAAAATAAAAATAAAGGTTTAAAATTAGAAACAAAACTTGACAGATGAGGTCATGGAGAATGGGTTAATAATGAAAATATTGGCAAGGAAAGGCCAATCATAGATGGCAAAGACATTTCAACTTGAATGGAGCAAGTATATTTTCCCTCTGAAAACAGAAAATTATAAAATAATTATTGCATTAAAGTTATGAACTATAAACATTTGTAGCTAATAAAGTAAAGTTTTCAACAGTACAAAAATCAATACCCTTGTAAATAAAAATATTCATGAATACTTTCAATGAGAAGATAAATAATATAATTTTAGTTAAATATCATGGGACATGTACTATATTTTAACTTTATTCCAGATTTTCTTTCTTATATTATAAATATCTTTTTTATTTACTGTTGAGGAGCTGTTGGCAGTTGGTAAATACTGGAGGAAGGAGCGTGAGTGTTCTCAAATGATGTGGCCCCTGATAAGTTGTACATGAGTCAGCTGATAGTCCTCTGTCTACTGACATACTGGTACCACTCATGGACTTAATTGGGTCTTCATTTGGATTCTCATTTTGTGAAGCCTTGGCTGGCTGTACAAGTCACGGTGTATATTTGGTTTTGTCACATACAGCCCTTGGGACTCCAGTCACTGCCTGTGGTTGGTACAAATGTTGATGGATCACACAGAAATTTTGCTTCCTTGAGCTGAGCAGCACTCAGGACCTCAGATGGGGTGAGGTGGTCAGTGGTGATGCCATGATCCAGGTGGTGACTCCAGAAAGGCACACTCAAGAGAACCTAAGGAGGTGTACCATCTGCTGTTTTGAACGATGCTTGTAGCATGAATTCTAATTGGTCTTAATAATAAAAACCCTGAGCCAGATATCAGGGTAAATGCTGAAATATCAGAGAGATAAAGGAGCAAGCCACAGCCACTGCTTACCTCTAGGAATCCTCAGACTGAAAGAGGGGTGAGCTCCTGTTTCCTTCTGCCTTATATTCCTCTCTCTGCCTAGCCATATCACTTCCTGTTTCCACCTCCTTAGTACTGGGATTAAAGGCATACACCTCCCAAGTGCTGGGATCAAAGGTGTGTGCCTCCACCACTTGGCTATGTTTCTCTTTTAAACTGGATCAATCTTCTGTAGCCCAGGGTGGCCTGAACTCCTGATATCTCCTTTGTCAAGGTAGTGTCATGTTCTGGGGACTCAGAAGTTGGCCCTCCAATAGAACTAAAAGGATAAGGGGAGAGATGTAAAAGGAAACATCTCGGCCCTTAACACAACCACAATGTCTCACTCTCTGCCATTTAGGTTTTCTTATTCAGATGGAATAAGGGCAGATGATGGCAGTCCAACTGAACAGTAGGGCCACTGAGGCCCAGATGATGTGACTGTGTCTTTATTGTTTTCCCTGGAAGCAAGAAGTAGAGTTGGGGACTAGAAGGAGCCTTCCCAAGGAGATGTCCTCTTTTCCAGATGTCAGCCCAGGGCCTTTGAACATGGAGGTGCCCACATTCAGAATTAACTTAAACCAGAGAGCAAGAGGAGGTCCTGGATGTGAGGCAGGAGTAGAGGGAAGGCTTCTTAAGGCTCAGCTCCCTAATGAGTCCACAAGAATGTAGTGCTTTCTCCAGGGAACTCATTAGAATAGACCAATGGGAGGGTGGTCTGGGATCTGAACATGATTCTGGAAGTGGTGGG